TTCGTTTGCCATCTAGATGTTTTTTTTTACTGATACAAAAGGTATGCCTATTTCGCCAATATATTCATCTTCATAAGTACTACAAGAGGGCAGGTGTATCGTACCTGAATTGGTGCAATAGCCATTCCTGGCATGAGGGCAAATTTCGTGATTCTCTGTTTCACATGGATGGTCATATAGACAGTTACGAATTAACTAACGGCGAAGAAATATCAAATAATGATGGAAATCAAGAAGTGGTGACACTACCACCAACTTCTTTACCTAGGGCGTTCTTTAGACAATAGTACCCTAACGTCGAGATGGATAAAAAATTTCGCATGTTTTCGGGTCTAACCTCACAGCCGTGCAGAGATGTAGTATGGGAGAAATTAGCGAATTCATATATCCACTGATATTTAGACTACCAGTTAGTGATAGGGGTGAGATTACGTGGTTATTCCGCGCCAATTAGATGTTGAAATAGCGAAGGAGCATCTTAGTGATGCTACCCTTTACCAACCATCATTTTAAAAGGAATAGAAAAGTCAATACCGAAAAGTAAACAATCGATTGGTGAACGTGGCAAGGGCGGCAGGCTTAAAATCATCCGTTATTTCGAATCTTAAAATGGATAGGCCCACATTTCTTTTCTCCTACTTGTTTATCAAAACAAGCGAGTTAGTGTCAGCTGATGATCTCGCGTCAATCAATCCATCATTCTTCAAGGTTAGACCCATCGTCAATTCTGCAGACGGGCCATCGGATAAAGTAGCACGGTTTCTAAGCCTAATACTTACCCAACTGCTTACACATATTCCACCTCACCTGACGAACATGCAAGTGTTCCTAGAACATCTAAGTAACACGTCTCCTAACGGTGCGTACGTGATGAAGACCTTCGACGTTACTGCGCTTTACATCAATGTTTCGAATGACTCTGCAATGCATGCCATCCTCGAACTACTTGTTGGACATAAAGGAGGAACAGATATGTATGACTTGTCTATTCAGTAGCTCATACCTTCCTAAAGGTGTGCCTGAATACATTAATTCCACCCGGTAGAAACCGAATGAAAATTGGATTTCATTTTCTAAGGTTCAAATTAAGCTATTTGATAGCGGTTACATGACAAATTGGTAGCGAAAACTAAGTAATAAAAACATCCTCGTCCATTTCCTGTATTCTCACATTAAACAAGTAAGTAGCCTCTTTGTAAGAAACACGTTCCGAACAGCCACCCCTGTGTGCACGAAGAGTGAACTAAAGGATGAATAACACGACTTGGCTCGGCAAATAGCCATCCCCAGTGACTACGAAATAATAACCCGAAGGGATACATTTAAAAGGAGAGCGACGTCCCAAAACGAAAAGCCTCGCCAACAGAAAATCCCGTTTACGTTTTCTTTTATTAGCGGTGAAATAAGCATAGCTATAAAACGATTAAGAAGGGCAGGTCTAAAGAAACCAGCGTAGTTCGCACTGGTGTTGTGTGTGCCTTTGTGCGTAAATAAAAGTGTTCTATATAACAACCTGACGATTGCTGACAACGAAAACGACGCGTTTATAATGCGATGCCGAGGTTAATAGAAAGTCAATCCTAGAAACTCTCTGCAGCAGTGTTTACCATTCTATTTACCGCTTCTTCTTTTCCTACGACAAAATACGATGTGGTATGCAACCACAAGGATGCTGAGATGTTAGCAACCTTCGAAAGCACCTAGGCGCCTCGAATCTGTGATAACCCTAACTCACGTTCTATCTACGAAACTGAGCAAGGGCATCGTGTGAGGACAATTGAAAGTTCGAAGGCTAGACGAGTCCTGGATTTTCCCATATCTCAACATCCTTGTGGGTGCCTCTATCACCTGTATCATCTGCAGTTCTGTTGATCGTCGAGTGATTCGAGCGAGCGCTAGTAAATCATCCATTTTTCCCTGTCGCGTGCAAGAGTAGGCCAGTGGGTTCTGCTCGCTCTAGGAACTCGTAGAGCATCATATCTTTCCTCTAAGCTCTTCGCGAAAACTCTGAAACACCATCGGGCCGGTGGTCTTCCTGCAATGCGTTTGACATCTCGTGGAATCAAGTCACTAATAGCTATTGTCCATAGGTTGCCATTCATACGCATTACGTGTCCGGCCACCTTATCTTCGACTGTTTGGAGTACAGAATGGCCTCTTTGATTTTTGATCGTTGACGCAGATCGGAGTTTCGGATCCCATCCCTTACTTGTGTGGAACGGGATACTCTTAGTACCGTCCTTTCGGCTGCGCGTTCGATAACGCTGAGTGACGTTTCGTCCTGCTTAAGCAGCGACCACGTTTCTGACACATATGTTAGGGCATTCGAGAGTTCTTTCTTTTTTTCATAACATCCCCAACCCAATGTTCATGAAAGCTCCCCAAGCCGCTCGTTTATATCTGCTCAACTCTGAAGCTAAGTCGTTCAACATGTTAATTTCCCGAACTAGATAGACATAACTGGAGCATTCGGAGATATTCGTTCCGTTGAGTGTGAAGAGGGCATACTAAGCCAATCCGTTCATCATGAACATCGTTTTTGTAAGATTTAGTCGAAGACCAATCTTTCCACATGCTTCATGAAAGTCGGTAAGCATACGTTCCGCTTGGCTAATGTTTGGTGTTATAAGGACCATGTCATCAGCAAAGCTAAAATGGTGCAATTGCCGACCATCGATTTTCGCTCCCATATTATCCCATTCCATGACGCTCGCATGACGTTCTGGAAGGTGGCGGTGAATAATTTTGGCGAGATGGTATCGCCTTCCCTAACCTCTTCTTTGACGTCAATGTTAATATCGTTGTAGAATGGTGACGTCTTGGTTGTGAAATTTCTTTACAGCTCACGAAGAATCTTTATGTACTGAGTAGGGACTCCTTGACTATCAAAGGCTTCTTTGACTGGTTCTATATCAATTGAATTAAAGGTCTTCTCTAAAGCGATGAAAGTGAGACACAGCGGTCTTTTGTCTTTTCGCGATACTTCGAAGAGTTTTGTTACCGTGTGGATGTGGTCCGTCGTACTAAATCCTTTCCGGAACCCTGTTCGCTCACATGGCTCTCCTTCGTCTGGTGTTCTGTCAATCGTGTTTAGGATGACTCGAGCGAAAAGTTTGTAGACGAGAGTCAGCAGGCAGAAAGGTCGATAGTTGCTGATATCGTGTAAGTCTCCCTTCTTGAACAATAATAACACGCTTTGCCGGTCTTCCACTGAGTACGGACCCTGCATTCAGATAGTTAACTCCTGAACAGCGTAGCTACTGTGTTTACGAGGAGTGGCGGAAGGTTCTTCAGGTGTTCTGGTCTTACCCTGTCTAGACCCGGTGCTGTTCGATTTGACATCGACGAAATGGTGTGTCGGATTTCGGAAGGGTGAACCGGTGGTTAAATATATCCATCCTCCTTTGTTTCTTGTGACAGAAGGTGGATGTGGTATCGAAGAGATCTGAGTAGTATTCTTGAGTGATTATCTCCATTGCCTTTTTGGACGCTGTAACTGCTCCGTCTGGGCGTCGGAGTGCATTAATCTTGGTTTTGTAATTGGTCAAGCTTCGGTGGGCTTTGCGAATGCTTTTCCCAGCCTCTGCAGCTTCGACCACTACTGCTGCTCTTCCCCAGTTCGCGGTTGCCTGCAGCTCGTGCGATTCCACGCAGGCGTATCAGCTGGAGCGTTTTTGGAGACAGACGTCTCCTGGTGACCGAACTCTCAGCTTTCAGATAACGCTAACCTAAAATTGTTAGAATAAAATGAGTCGATCGTATTCTTCGTCGACGTTGTCGATAACGGCATCTTCCCGACAGCCGACTAATGAATCCTTTGTAAGATCATTTAAACATACCACGTGGTTGTCAATTAGATCTTTAATTAATAGTATGAATGGCGTTATAGATGATATAAGCAAAGTAGAACAATTATTGAGCAACTATTGGGATTAACTTCAATGATGCTGAGATATTTGTAAAACTCCGAACCACAGGTGTCTGCGGTGGGGAACGAACACGCTATTGTCCTTTCACGTGAGTAGCGCGTTCACCACCACATCACGCGGGTCCTTCGTCTCGCCTGTCTCTCAGCTAGTTGTATCGATCTTTTGCCAACATCAGTCACCCGTCAGCGGGATTGGTGGTGAACGTGTGGTGGTGAACGCGCTGCTCTGCGGAAAGGACAATAGCGCGTTAGTTCCCTACCGCAGACACCTGTGGTTCGGAGTTTTACAAATATCTCAGTAACATTGAAGTTATATTTCACAATGTATACCCTGCCGTCAAAAAGAGTAGGCAGTAAATAATAAGTTAAAATATTAAGGTTAAGTTAGTGGAAATTACTCAACTGGCTGCCATCTGCTCTAAAAATGCATGTAATAAAACGTTTCAGTCTTTACGTCAGAATCATTTCATACTGAGAAAACTTGATGCTTGATATTTGAATGGCCCGTTCTCACTGGTTGCGCTGGCTCCAGTATAACCTCCATTTTTCGGAAATTTGCTGGTCAAGCCGTTGTGCTTCCCTGGAATCCCGAGGTCAGCCTGGCCGAAGTCTGCCTCAGATCTTCACCACCACAGGTAGTTGCAGCCCATGTGGATCAGAGAGATTTTCCACCATGCGACTTTAATACCGGGATGGCGGTAAACCCTGGTATTGGTTTACTCTTAGCTAAGCTTCCTGATGGAAATGCCACACTCCTTCTCAGCTTGGGAGACCCTGCTAAGAGACGAATAGCCCCACTTTACATCGCAGCCCGACATCCAGGAACACCTCCCAGCCGCGATTAGGCGGTAAACCGTTGGCAGGATAGTGAGGAAAATGGCGAAAAAATAAAGTTCTCAGCGTTGATTAATACCTGAGGGATGCGCCATGCTATCGACTTCATTAAGTATCGTTGGAGGTGATTGAATGCATATCTGGTCTTTACAATGACTCGCGGGGGCCAATCGATGTATCGAACCAATGCTACTATCCTCCCAGGCAAGTCTGGTACCAATTTTCCGACTCCGGAGGAATGGAAGAGTTGGTGGGTCATAGGTGCGTGAATCGATTCTACATGTGTGTTGCAGCGGCTCCTCCAACGTCTGCGCCACACGCGCCCTATAGTGAGGAAAACGTTTAAAATTTTTTTAAACAAATCTTTGAAGTGCTTTATTAGTAAAGACAGATCGTATTCAGGTTCTAATAGACCAGTTGAGGTTCATCACCTTACGCGAGAATGACTGGCGCGACAATCATCCCAAAAAAATGATATTCTGGTCGGTGGAGTCACCATATCACCGTGACTTCGGCAAGAACTACTTCAAAGGAGGCCAGTTACGGTAACGTTCACAGGCTATTTTCTTGGTGTTGCAACAAAATCGGCTTCTCGTAATGACAGAGTTCTTAATCTAACCTGAAAATCTTGGCAAATCAGCGGTTTGAGATCCGTGTGGCTTATGACAAATCACTATGCGTGCCATTCATCAGACGGTATTTTTCCTTTCTCGTTCTCCATTCATTTTCTTTTTGTCAACAAACGAGCTTGCCTACCAGCTAAGTAAATTATTTATTAAACCGACTAGGGCAAAAGTCGAAGTAGAAAGGTAAAAAATAAACTCCAAAAACGTGTTTATTAGCTGATATCGATACAGGTATGCGAAAGGATAATTTTAGAACGACAGGAAGTTCACAGTTGATGTCGTTTCTGATTCTCGGAGCAGTGATCGGCTTCATCATCTATATCTATCTATCACATGTGATTATGATGCGAACGTTGAAGCGTCAAAGCAAAGGTATCGAACTACGCAAAATCGCTCAAAGGTATGGTATTGGATATATGGAAAACAGTCGACTAGTATTAGACCAGCCCTTGCCCTTCATTGGTTGCCGACTATGAGGCAATGATGCCTTTTCTTTACTACGGACCAAATGCGAAACTGAAAGCACCATAAAATGGCGATCAAATGCAAGTGCATATCGTAAGCAGCTTAAAAAGTCGCTTAGCACAAAAACCATTCAATTGTTCAGAGGCTGTGTACGCTTATCGAACTGATTGAAAAAAATTGAAAAGAAGAAGGAATGAGTTATTTAAGCAAACATGGGTTTCAATAGCCAGATCCGTTATAAACTAACGAGTCTTCACGATAATGTCGCAAATTTCAGAGTGGTCATAGAACGATATTGAGCCGAATGATGTCTTAATTTAACGACGACGATGTTTTAAAAAGGAGAAAAGCACGCTTTTCGGTTTTACAACAATTCGTGGATTCGTCTTGGGGCCTTATTCAAAACTGCTAAACGTAGTGCACGACATGCTCTTGCTGTCAGAATGAGACAACTTATGAATATCGGACTCATCTTGAAATTCACTAGATCACAATTACCTTAATTTTTCCTTTGCGAGTTCTGATGAGCGTTTGCCATTACCAGCAGAACGTATTTGCTCATAAAATGTCCTCGTCCACAGTAGCATATTCCGCCGTACAAAGTAGGAAATCTCTTAAAAGAATTTCACATTTCTCAAAACGGACTTTCATCTTGAGTTCAGTTATATTCTAGCATTTTCGAGCTTATAAGCTTTTGACCTTAAATGATTTAACGGAAAAGATCTACTAGCCTCTCATAACAATTATTAGTGCAGTTAACCATACGGCCAAATTATACCTAAATTCGATGTTTTTCTTTAATAACCAGACACGAGGTTGTTATTACAGAATTTATTAAGAAATAGTAGCTGACGTTTCGGCAGTTTTGCCTTTTTCAAAACCATCAAACTTGGGGCTTAAATACCCAAGTTTGGGGCTCTGAAGAAGGCGAAATCGCCGAAACGTCAGCTATTGTTCCCAAATAAGTTTGGCAAGTATAGATCAGATATGCATTTAACCACGTATACGACTCTACGAATGAAGTTGAATGGGTGCCACACTTGTAAGAGATTAGGCAACGCCTAGAGCTTTTCACTTCATAACCTTCGCTATGTGAACGAAATATTGAAAAAAAAACTTTTTTTACATAGATAGCCAAGAACAAGCAGGAGGCTTCAAGAGTAATACTGCCTAAATGTAATGGATTTTTTATTCACAGCATATTCTCTTTTCATGGCAGGGAATGCTGTGAACTATAACTACAATGATGCTGAGATATTTGCTAAACTCCGGAGCACAAGTGCCTGCTGTGAAGAACTACCACACTATTTCCTATTCTGGGCGCTAATGCGTTCACCACCACATCATGCGTGTCTTTTGTTTCGTCTGTCTCTTAGCCGCCTTCTAGAGGTGCTATCGCCAGTCACCACGGACCTCCCTCATATGAGGGATCTTGAGCCCGTTAGTCGCAAGGCTACGTGAGGCGTTCCCGCAGGTGGCGGATAGGAAGTTAATCGCGGCCCAAAAGCGTTGCTTCCCTGAGACGCCGGTGGTTCCAGAGAATGGAATTCCTGTTTCTGCTGCGCCAATTTGCAAATACTTTCTGTATTTGCTAAGCGTATACATGGATGCGTGTGTGGTTGCGTTCTCGCTTATGCGGATTGTATTTTACGAGTCAATTCGGCCAAAAGCCTGCAATCAAGTGACAGGGAAGTATATGGGAAGCGGTTAGGAGTCACCTCCAACAAATAAGGTCCATATCCACTCCGGGAGAGCCTGGCAAGCTACCCGTGAGTACACCCAGGCCCCACGTTCAGAGCCCAGCAAGCTATACGTGGGTATCAAAATGCTAAACACAGTAGAAGAATACGGCCTCATTTTTCTGACCCCGATGGAGTTCTCAATTTCGCGGCGTTGGGTAGAGTACGGAGAGGCTGCTAAGCTCTCAAGGCCAATAGAAGCTGCCTGGACAACGGAGAACTATGACGACGACCTGTGCTTACAATGCACGTACACTTGCATCCGACTTCTTGATAGAAGACTTGCTCATGCAAGCAAGAAGGATAAGGAACGACGTCATCGGCCTGGCCGAGACGAGAAGACACCACCCACTTCGCGCGAGCTGCAGACAATGACGAACTAACGTACGAACTTGCAAAAGAATGCAGACAGGTAAAGGAGATCTTAAGGACAGAAGAGCAGCAGTAATGGTCGAAGCTGTAAAGGCTAGGAAAAAAATTGCAAAGCACACCGAAGCTTCACCAATTACAAGATTAAAATGATTGCACTCCGAAGCCCAGACGAAACAGTTACAAAGCTCAAAAAAGCGATGGAGAAAATCATTCAAGAATACTACTCGGATTTCTTCGATAGCCACGTCCACCTTCCGTCATATAAAATGAAGGAGGATGGATATGTTGTACCACCGGTTCACCCTTCCGAAATCCTACACACCATTTCGTCGGTGAAAAATCGAACAGCACCGGGTCTAGGCAGGGTAAGACCAGAACACCTGAAGAACCTTCCGAACCGAGTCCTCGTAAACACAGTAGCTAGGCTCTTCACGCGTTAACTATCTGAATGCAGGGTCCGTACTCAGTGGAAGACCGGCAAAGCGTGTTATTATTACTGTGTTTGTGACATTGTGATTTCAACTACAGCCATAGCTTAACTGCGTTCTATGCCGATTTGCGCTCCCCAGATCAACCCCGCTGACGGGTGATTGCTGTGGCAAAAAGATCGATAGAAATAGCTGAGAGACGTGCGGAACAAAGGACCCGCATGGTGTGGTGGTGAACGCGTTACTCCCCGGAAAGGATAATAGCGCGTTCGTTCTCCACCATAGACACCTGCGGTCCGGAGTTTTGCAAATATCTCAGCAACGTTGTGGTTGTATTTCGCTTAGTAACCTGCCATGAAAATTATAGAAGGCAGAAAACAAAACGTTAAACATCGTGTTATTATTGTTCAAGAAGGGCGACCTACACGATATCAGCAACTATCGACCTTTCTGCCTGCTGACTCTCGTCTACAAACTTTTCGCTCGAGTCATCCTAAACACGATTGACAGAACACTAGACGAAGGAGAGCCATGTGAGCAAGCAGAGTTTCGAAAAGGATTTAGTACAGTGAAGCAAATCCATACAATAACAAGACTGATAGAAGTATCGCGAGAGCACAAAAGACCACTCTGTCTCATTTTTATCGATTTACAGAAGGCCTTTGATTCAGTTGAGATGGAAGCACATGTGTCTGTTTCCGCATAAAAAAACACCTAGCCGGCAAACATGGACCAAATACTCCGCTAGGCACGCATAGGACCCAGAGACATAACGGGGAGGACTTCGAAGTATGTGTCACGATCCTCGCACGCGAATCAAGAACACAAGCGCGCAAAGCTCTCGAGGCATTTTGGATGAATTCCAGAAATCCGAAAATGAACTTCAGGGAAGAATGCCTCATTATCACGCGTGATATAGGGCAGTATAAAAGCCTGTTATTCTGATGGGAGAAGCACGTTATGCTTCCATGTGGTTTCTGTGAGGTTGGTCTTCACGCGGCATACTTAGTGGAAACCTCATAGAAAGCGGTGAGTGTGCAAAGCTGTGTTCAGTGTGATTGAAGTTTTGGTTTAGCGTTTTCTTTGTTTGTGGAGGTGTCTGGCCGAATAGATTGCTATCAACTTGACCTTTCCAAGCTCTGAGAAAGGCGAAATCCGCCTACAGGTCAGCATTAGTGAATAAAGAATAACAACACCTCGCGTTTGCTCAACAAAAATACGAAGAATTACTTGATCAATGCAGAGGTTAATAGAAAGTCGGTCGTGGGAGTTACAACCCGCATGAGCGAGAGCGCAACCGCATACGCACGCATGGATACGCCTAGCAAGTACAGAAAGTATGTGCCAAATCGACGAAGAGAAACAGGGATTTTATTCCCTGGATCCACCTACGTCTCAGGGAAGCAAAGGTCGCTTTTGTTGCGCGATTAACTCCCTATACACCACCTGGGGACGAGCCACGTAAGCTCGCGACTAACTGGCTCGAGATCCCCCATATGAGGGCGATCCGTGGATTGGGATGATATGGAAGTGAAAGCCGATAATTGGGAGATACATCATCTTTTCTTTGTTGCTGACATCGTTCTTATAAGACAAACATTAGCCAGGCGGAACATGTGCTTGCTGACTTTGATAAAACCTGTGGAAAGATTGGTCTTAGACTAAATCTCACAGAAACGATGTTCATGAGGAACGCATTGGTTTCGTATGCTCCATTGGGCAGAAGGAATCGAGCGGCTTGGAGAGCTTCCAAGCGCATCGAGGATGTAGTGAAGAGGACAAAAAACACCCGACTCCGCTCCCACCTTTTCGACTCAACGGTACTTTCTGCACTAACACATGCGTTGGAAACCTGGTCGCTGCATAAGCAGGATGAAAGACGACTCAGCGTTGTTTAACGTGCAGTAGAAAGGACGATGCTAGAAATATCCCGTTCCACACAAGTAAGGGAGAGGATCCAAAGCCCCGATCTTCGTCAACGATCAAAAATCAAAGATGGCGTCTTGTGCGCCAAATAGACGGAGATAAGGTGGGCCAGAAACGTAATACGTATGAATGGCAACCAATGGAGAGCAGCCGTTAGTGACTGGATTCCTCGAGATGTCAAACGTACTGCAGGAAAACCACCAACCCGATCGTCAGAGTTCTTCATTCACAAGGAGTCTTGAAGAAAGATATGATGCTCGACGAGTCCATAGAGCGAGTAGAATCCACTGGGCTACTCTTGCACGCGACAGGGAAAAATGGAAGATTTACTGGCGCCCGCTCGAGTCACTCGACGATCAACGAGACGACAGATGATACAGGAGAACAGCAGTCAGTGCAACCTCTCTATAAATACTGCAGTGATGCTCTATTTGCCATGCTATGCTGATTGTTCTCAAATTGGCCTGCCAAGTTTTGGAGTATTTTGGTTGATGGATCTCAATATCTTCTTGAGTAAATTTTTACTTTTGTTGAGAGTAAATAGCTTTTGTTAACAGCACCATGATCGCTTTGCTCGTCATTCCATTACAATCCGCAGAGGCTCATCCTGTGTTATTTCTACATCATTTAGCACGAATATTGCACACTTTATTTTGCTTGGAAATGCTATCGCATTGAACGAAAAGTGACTTATCGGATCATTTAATGGACGCAAACCGTTTTGCGATTTTTAACTTGAAGGAACCGCATAACTTGCCTGAATGGCCCGGAATCTGTTCTTCTGCACGTCATCACTTTTGTGCCTATTTTTACCGACGGAAAAAGTCTGAAAAGTTGGATACTTAAATAAAAGGATAAAAGATAAAGCGATTGGCGTTGATCAATTCCTGAAGGATGCACCATGCGTTCGTCTTCATCAAACACTGTTAAGGGTGAATGAATTCATAGCTGGCCTATATAATGATTCACAGTGGTTTACCGATGTGTCGATCCGATGCTGTTATCCTCCCAAAGTAGTCTGG